ATATATATATATATATATATATATACATACATATATATACACATACATATATACACATATACATATATATACATAATAATATGAACGTTACAGCACTGTCTAGTGTCTTTCTGTCTTTACTTCTGACATTTGATGACATCCACTTTCTTTTTTGTCCTCTATACCTCTCCCTTATCACTTTGTGTTGTTTTTCTTTGCCATCTTAAAGTGGAAACCTGTCCTAACCAGACTTTATTGCTGGCAGAGTAAGTGACCTCTTGAGAAGTCCATAATAGTAAAAGTATGTAGACTTCCCTGCGAAATGGTTAACAAACCCTTTAGTAAAAAGCCAGTCCATACTCCAGCATTTTATACATGCTTTCATCGTGATAAGTTATTACCCTGTATTTAAGTAACATGTGGAGTCATTCTTGACTTTTGGACATGGAGAAAGATTTGACATGCCATTTGGCTTCTCAAGTCTTTGGAGGCATCCCTTGGTTTTATTTTTGTGCTGTGCTGAACCTTTTCATTGGCCCGTTGAGATGTTTTTTGCTTATAACTTGCCCAAGCAGCTTAAAAAAATCCAGAAGTTTAACCATGCGGAACTTCTAAGCTGGTGTGGACTGGTTTATACTGCTTTCATTCTAAAACCAAGCACTTTCGAATACGTTTGCGTACTTTATTTTAGTAGTGTGCTTGTGTTCTTTCAACTCATTTACATTTGACGCCACCAGTGTTTTGCAGTAGCATCTTTCAGAGCTGAAAAAGATGCACTGATATGAGCAATATTCAGATTGCGTCAGAATTCCCACACATCCGCTGTGTCTTCATGGAGGTCAACAAAATCGAAAGAATGTTTGATTCCTAAGTTTACGGTTTAGGTTACTTTTGATCCAAGTGTGGAGTTTGACCTCCAGGTTGGCTCAGTGAAGTATGTTGGGGAGCTTGTCTGATTATTTTCATCTCTCTTTGGCGCCCCCTGTAGGCAGCTTCCTGCACAAGAGTGCCAAGCTATTCTTCAGGCGGCGACATCAGCGAAAGGAGCCTGGAATGAGCCAGTCCCACAATGACCTGCAGTACTTGGAGCATCCCGAGGCGGCCATGATGGGCGACAGGGAAAAGAGGACGGCCACCTTCAGGCGCATCATCAACCGCAAGCTTCTACCCAGGAGCAAGAGCAAAGCCAACGGCACAGTGAGAGAACCGCCCACATGAACTGCCCACTCCGTCGCCTTCATCAAAACTAGTAGCTTTTGCACCTCTTCATCTTTCTAACATCCTCCCTATCACATTCATTCTTGTAACTTTTATGCAAGTCATTGCTAGTTTCTGGGCCATATTTGCCAAAACGTCTGCGTAGCAACAATCACTCTCATCAACTCCATATTAACACCATCATCCAGATTTCCTGAAAACCTATTCCATTATTCAGACCTCTCAGCTTGGTTCTTCTTGGTCAGCTCTATGAAGTCCGTCTGCCTGGCGCTAGATTCATTTCTTTGTCCATGTAGAGGGACATTAGGGGCGCTTTCCCTACTTGACAGTTCTGTCCACACCTTTCACCTTCATCTTTGAACTTTGTGCGTGTGTTAATGCAAGAAAGTTTACAAAACATCATCCAAATGAGCACTGGCTCTCTTCGTCGCTCCAAATGACTCCGTGTCATTTAACCTTATGCAAATATTGATCGTCATGCAAATGATATTCTGCGTTTGTGGCCTTCTAACCAAAGCTGGATTTGAGGACAACCCTTTCTTGCCATCTACCTGAGCTTTAACCCTCTGGAAACCCTCTGGCGACCTGATGAATCCTGGAATATCAGACAAGGGAAAACCATCGTTTTGAGTTGCACTTATTTATATGCTCAGAACTCATTCCAAATGCGTTTGCAGGGATGTGCAGTGAATTCTGTGGGGTTTGGTAGTGAACATGCTTTATAAAAAATGATGTGAAAGACCTCTGTCTTGATGTGAATTGAATATGAGAGTTTTCCTTTTGTTAGGGAGACAAATCTGCAGTTCCACCAAATTTGACTGAATAGTGAGTTTTATTTTCAAAAATTGTGCAGCGAAACATTTTCAGACAGAGCATGACGTTTAAAATGTTCTGGTTTGGCACTGATATGTTCGCTTTAAAACAGGTTTGGTGTTTTATTCATCTTTTCATTTCTAAATATTCGAACAGAGATGGGAAAATATTAATAAATTATTTTATTTTAAATATTTTCCTTTTATTCATACATTATTCAGTGTACTGTGTAATTAATGTGTAAACATGTTTATGATTCCCCCCCCCTTTTTTTTTTTCTTCCACAGCCATTACATCATGCCACACATTTCAAAAAAAAAAAAATGTGTGTGAATTGTACCAAAGGTTTTTAACACTAAGCAAGGGTATTTTCCCATAGAGAAAGACTATTCAATGGACTAAGGCTATTAGTAGACTAAGACTAAGGCTATTCAATATGTTCATGATTTATGGTATTTTCCTAAGTGTGGTGTCGTCTTTTACCTGTACTCTTAAGCCACCTGAAATGTTGGCTGTGAATGCCAGCCAGTTTGTATTTTGGACCTCAACTGTTGAGCCTGTGTGGAGAACTGCAGTGGATTTGTGCTATGGAAGATTCAATAACAGGTTCCATTTGACATTTACTTGACCTCAAGCTGCATATGTAGAAGAAACCTGAATGCCTGTCCATACTGAATGTTGCCAGAAAGAAACCTCAGCAGTCTGGTTGTTTTATATGTATTCTGGGAGGACTGCTGTTCTGTTTTTCTCTTTCTTTCTTTTTTTTCCTTCATTTTTGTCTATGTTGTGTGTTGTCATGTGCGGCCTGGCTGTTAACAATTCATTGTATTTCTTAACAGTCAAAAAATGAAAGAGGTATTTTCCAGTGAAATGGAAGGAGGCACATGAAGATTTTATTTTTGTCCTGCTTGATTGGCCGACCAGAGGTGATCCAGTTGTTAAATGAAATCTTAACACATCAGTCCTCTGTATATGCATATCATAATGTATCCATGTGCATTAAAGAACTCCTCTTGTCAACTCATCTGTGCGTTCTCCTGGAGTCTGGTTGGCCTCCTTAACCAGAAGGACCTTAGAAATTGCTGTTGTGAATGATAATTGTTTCATTGCTCACCATAAAACATTTACCTGCAATATTAAGATTGCTCATGTGTATGGCCTGTGCAGTAAGAACTTATAGAGCTGTTGAGTTTGAAGTCCTAAAACCCTCTAGAATTCTCTTATCAGCTCTTAAGAATGGTGGTTTGCGATTTATGAGTAAAAGTCTGTCGTCATTACTTGAAGAAACTTGTTTTGTTTTAAAACAAAATACATATGGACATACTACTGTGCTGTGCATTTTAATTAAAACACGTGGCTAAGGTGTTGCTAAATAAGGACTACAACTACCATAAGGATGTTAATGAACCACTGTTGTAGTCTTTATATCAATAAAGCCTTAAATTTCACATTTGATGTATGAGTTTGTGCAATTGTGTGAAAGTCTTTTCAAGTAATGAACTTTTGTTACTCTTCAAACCTAATAATTAGCTTCCCAATTAGCCTACAAATTGACGTAATGACTGAACAGCTCTATTATGGTGAAGTGACAAAGACTTTGATGTCTGTGCATATGGAATGTCAGCCTGTGATCTGCAGGGATTCTGTTCATCAATATATCTTTATTGGTTTGAGCAATAAACACTGACTGAACATTCCTGTGTGAACTCTTTCACATCAAAATTCAGACATTTTCTATCTGCATGAAGTCATTTGCATAATCGAATTAATCAGATGGAACATTTGATGCAAATCTAACAGGGTACGGCGTTTGTGGAAAAACTACATATCCCATAATCCCCATCGCGGGTCTTGTTTCCGGTCCTGCGCGGTTTCTGGAGCGGATTGGAACCCGGAGTCAGGATTTACTAAATGTGTAGACGTTTTGAAAACAGGTAATGGCTTTATGCTAAATTGTGAAGCATTTATATTCAAACGCATTGAGCGAAATGGCCAAATGCTCCTCATTCACAGGTGCAGGAGCAATGAAAAGTGTGAGCGGAGCGAGTTTCTCGTGCTTTGCGTTTTCAAACGCTCTGGCTCCAGATGAGCGCTGCGTCTCCATTCCATCCGCCATGCCGATTGTTCTTTGTTACATTTGCATTGCTGAAAGAGAGCGAGCGCAGCCTGAGATCGGAGTTAAAACCCGGCTACAGTTTGAAATCTTCCCAAATCACGGATTCTGTCCGTATTGTACTCCTCTTCCCTGGCTGCTTTACGGGCGATTCATGCGCAGACTGCTCCCCGATCTGCGTTGATAAAGAGCGTCATTTGTTGTTATTGTTGATCTTGGGAGCATCAACAAAATCTGTTGCACTGTGTAATGGGCTCTGCTGACTGACAGCAATGCAACGAATACAAAGTTATAATGGTAAAGTGCATTTAAATGCGTTTTTATAATGTGTTTGCATTACGACCTTACGGACTTACAATTTTATAACGTATTATTTAATATAATCCTTTCTTTATACATATTAGACGTGCATATTTTTAGCCCAAATTTACAAAGTTATATTCAAAAAATATTTAAAAGCCCAGTTAATACAAAAATTACTGAAATACACATTATGTGGTTTTATTTTAATACTAAAAAGTTAAATAAATAAATGTCTAGGTTGTGTAATTTTAAAACTTTTTTAAAAGGCTAACATCTTGGAAATAGAAATTTAGCATAAGCTGTTAGACGTAGTCTTTTATTATTATATATCTAAGCAGTTACACAACCTGGTATTTTTTATGCTTATCAAATTTTTTGTAGAAAATGATTAAAAAAAAAAAATGTGTCAAGTCAACATGAATACAAGTCTGTATTATATACGTTTTAAATATTGGAATATGTAACATTTTAGATTTATATTTAAACCCGTAATGTAATTAGTGTACTAATCTACTTTTAATTAACAATTAATGTAATTAGAATTATTAAATCCTATCCTATCATCATAAGAATGCCACCATACCACAAATGAATTGAATGATAAAATTGTTACAGGTGTTAAAACTAACTTTTGTGCATCATCTGTAGGGTGTCAGAATGGCAGAGCAGACACCAGATGAGTTTATTTGTAAGTATGCAACTATAACCTCACATTTGTTTATGAATATACATGCAACATCATTGTAATATTGCAATATTGTATCCTCATTGCCACTGTCAAGTTTTTTTGCAGTGTCCTTGTATTATTAAAGAGCATGGCGTAATATGTGCATGTAACTGTACTCCCTGCAGGGTGTGAGGACTGCGGGCAGTACCATGACTCTGAGTGTCCTGAGCTGGGGCCTGTCGTCACGGTGAAGGACTCGTTTGTTCTGAGTCGGGCACGGTGAGCGAACATGAGTGGCTTTTGGCCAGATACCCTCAGAGAGGGTCTTGGCTCTGCCTGAGCGCACTGACCACAATTAGATGGCCATATGTGCCAGATATTGACTCTGTATTGTGTTTATTACCAGAATTTTATTATGACAACAATTTAAAAAAGTCATATTGTGAAATATTATTACAATTTTAAACAACTGTTTTCTATTTTAATAGATTTTAAAACGTAATTTATTCCTATGAATTTAAATCTACATTTTCAGCAGCCATTACTCCAGTCTTCAGTGTCACATAATCATTCTAATATTCTAATTCGGTGCTCAAATAACATTTCTCATTATTACCAGTTTTTAAAAAGCAGTTGTGCTGCTTAATATTTTTGTGGAAAACGTGATAAAAAAAAATCACGAAAAAAAAAAGAATGTTTAAAAGAACAGTATTTATTTGAAATATAATATTTTTGTAACAATGTAAAAGTTTTATATATTAACGTTATTGAAATTTTAACATCATTATTGTCCATGTTCCAGGTCGTCTTTACCAGACAGCTTGGAGATCAGGTTAGCTGAGAAGGGGAAAGAAGGTGTGTTTGTGCTTCGATGGCTGGTTAAGAGGACTCGATTTGGCCCATTTGAGGCCAAGAAGGTTCCAAGCCTTCAAACTGAGGGGGCGTTTCCTTTAAAGGTAAACAATAGACCATCAATATGCCACTCCTATCCAAGTGCGCCTATACTTAATGTTTTCTCTATTGTATATCTTAGGTATTTCAAAAGGACGGCTCAGTGGTGTGTTTTGACATGTCTAATGAAGACGACTGTAACTGGATGATGTTGGTTCGGCCCGCCACAGACCACAAACACCAGAATCTGACGGCCTACCAGCAAGATGATGATGTTTACTATAATACATCACAGGTGAATTGATGCCGCACTTCTGTGCCATTCATAGCACTGTGGTTATATAGTGAGGACGGGTACAGTTATGTTATTAACACTGATAAATAATGAACAGCTTAGTTTATTGTGGTGTGTTATTAAATTTCATATGCTCATTTACTTTGATTGTTCTCTCATTTGTTCCGTCTCAGGATGTCCTGCCCGGAACAGAGCTTAGAGTCTGGTATGGAGCTTTTTATGCCAAAAAAATGGATCGGCCTGTTCTTAGGCCACCTGTTCTTCCACCTCCACCAGGTATGTGTGCTTTAAAGTCTGTGCAATGTGCATTATACTTCTGTTGGATGAAGTTATTCATCCTTTTGCGTCTTCAGAAATGGTGTCCAACAAACCTGGAGTCCCTCCAGCAAAGGGGGCACCAACAGAGACCCTTCCAGTCCCGGACCGGCTGCTTTGCCAAACCCCAGCACTTTCCACAGACCCACCTGTCCAGCAGGTTGCAGAGGCGGTATCCCAAAACAACACAGCCAAAATTGCCCCCACCCCACCAGAGCCAACTAGAAAGCAAGGCAGGCCACAACGGACAAAAGCACAGAAACCTGCACCGAGTGGAACAGCTGATTCTAGTCAAGGTGAGGTGGGAATTATAGGGGTATGGCCTACAAAGTAAGTTATTAAAGCACATTTCAGAAAAGTAACCCTTGAAAGATTGTTTGAATGAGCTTCATTTTTTCACCTCTCATCTAGCAGAAGCCCCTGTTTTTGTGTCTGGTGAGCAGCCTCTCAGTACTGTGGCTCCTGATGTTCCCCTGTCTGTACTGGATGTCCAAGAGGTGGTTGCCAGAGACGGCCCGCCACTCAAAACATCTCGGATGACACGCTCCCCCATCTCCTCTGTGAAGTAAGGACAACTTTTACAATTCATTTATGTCACATCTTCTGTGTTTTAAAGCACATACACTACTGTTTAAAAGTTGGGGCTAGTTTCTTTTTTTAAGACATTCA